GATTGATATACAACGATGATATAGTACACCTTCGTGCATTCATAGCTGTATAAACAAATATGTTACACGTTGCGTACATTCACACTGCAATTCTGTATTAGAAACAGTTGTGCTTCACCTTGCTGTACGACAAGTAGCATCTAAGGTTATTCCAGGTTTTTATTTGCTCTTTTAGGAGCTCCTGAAGCATCGTTCATGGTGCCTATCCACCTGGAAAGTCAACATGTATTTTATAGTTTAACTTCATTGTTGCTGCAATGGCTTTCACTCTTACATGGTATCCATAATCACAGCAATCATTGAATGGATAATTCTCACCACCTGAAAGACAATCCATCTGCATTTTTGTATTTCAGGCCCAGTCGATGATGGAAAAAAGTCATACTCTTATAATTCTAGAATTGCAAGTGGTTCTTTTTTACCTGTTAGTATCTACATTCATGAACCATCAACATATGACTAGAATACTCAAATATGTTTTATACTGTGACATACATTTGTGATAATACAGCTTAAATTCCGCTATCTCTGACATCAGAATCCAGCAGGAAGTAGCAATCTCATCTTGGGTATGCTAATCAGAGCTTATAAAAGGCACAGTGAATAACATGCATGATCACAAACATTAGTTCACTTAAAATGTATTTTGGCTTTAGTCAGTGCTCTTAACAGTACAGTAATCTAGGTAAAATTGCCATGAATTATTGAAAGTATCATTCAAAACCTAACAAACTGCAGCTCTCGCAATCAGTCATACATTAGTGTCAAACTCTGACTACTGTGATCTTCACAGGGTCCATTGAAACTCTATCCCTTTCTATAATATTATCAAGAATTCCTCTTGAGTATTTGTAGGCAAACAATTTCTTATTATCAATTTGCTGTTTGTCTTATCTTCTGAAGAACCATGCACATATTCTCAACAGCAGACTGAAATATATAACTAAGCACCAAAACATAATTAACAGAGCTCAAGCATCTCTATCATAGGAGCTTTGTCAGTGTAAACTCTAAAGTGACAGGCACATTATAAAGGACGATTGTCGGAAGTGAAATTTCTATACACCATCTCGTGTGGCTTGTTTACCTCATTCAGCTTGACCTTCCAATATCCAGAAGCCAGGTCTAAAATGTTGAGCCATGGGCAACTTTCAGTGTATCTAGACATTTGTGTTTTAATGAGAGCAAAAAGGCTTTAATGCTGGTCACTGCAGAACATTGGTGTGCCATCCTTCTTCTTCACAATTACCTCTGGAGATGATCAAACACTTACTGAAAACTGTATGGTTTCTTTCTTCAAAATCCACTATATTTCAGGACTGCCTATATCCATATTGCTTCAGTTAATTAAGCCTGTGTGATGATTGATTCATTGGACGTGTGTCACCTATATCCATGTGGCTGTGAGTTACTGTTGTTTAACTCACAATTCTATTTTGGTTAATTGATTATTTGTTGTTAAGCACAAAGCTACACAATGGGCTATCTGTGCTGTACCCAACATGGGTATCGAAATCCGGTTTTCAGTTTAACTGCTGAGCCATTGAAGGGCAATTCTGTCTTGTTCTGTAAACATGTTAATATATTCAACCAGCAGCTCACCTAGTTCCTATTATTGTGTTAAATCCAGCTTACTTGCACAATCATTATCCAGTGATTTCAGATGTTCTGGCAGCCATGTATTCCCTTTAGACACAGTATGACAGAAGCAAATCAAGCTGTGCAGTAGTTCTATCTACTTTCAGTTGGCAGGAAGCTGAGTAGTCAAATGTTCAGAATTACAGCTCAACACTTGGAATGTGACATAAGTCAGGTAGATAGTTGTTCAAGCAAGTGTAGCCTGCTTTATGGAAAATAAACAATGTATTCAATCACTGCAGAAAATAGCAACGATACATGCACCACTCTTAATCCATTGTAAATCGTGGAATGCCACCTACTTCTTCTGAACATGCATTCTTGCAATCCACTGTTCTACGGCTCGATCTGGCTAGCATTGGATGGGTTTTCATAAAAATTCAGTTTGCATGTTGCACAGGCATAAATGACTGACATTTCTGTTGTAGGTCCATCACCTAGATCCAAAAACCTAAATCAAGCTTGGAAACAGTTATCTTCATCCTTGTAGATTGAACCTAGACAAAGTTAGAGATGTGTCTTTGAATAAATTGGTGAAGTGGTAGCAAGGTCGTCCGTGGTTCCGGTGACTCCAATACCAACCATAAACTTTTGAATTGTTATTGTTACATACTAAAGATTTTTCAGCCCTGTATAGGCTGGACTGAACACCAAACGTTTTGATTCAAGTTGTTTAGTGTACCCCTAGCTTGATGGCCAAATCCAACCTGGGATTTATTAGTTTTTAAAGCCATAGTGACAGCAGCCTATACCTTGTCTTTGACCCTTCTGCATATGCTCAGCATTTTAGCAGAACTACATGTTTTATTTATCTTGCTGGAGACAATCTATAGGTCATTTACTCAGTAATGGTCCATTGTCCAACAAACCGAAGAAAATACTTTGGTTCTCTTATCCAGCCTAATATCTGGGAAGAGACATTGGCAGCACTTGCTGTGGAACAACCATCACTGGAAGCCTTGCCCTTCACTGGATCCAGTACAGCTCTATCTAGGTTCAGAATGTGTCTGCAGCTAAGTAGCCATTGGAGTAGTGTGAGCTTTCCATAATGGAGACATCTTACATGGGTGGTTTGTACAAGATGCAGCCATTTTAAGGGGTCACTTCTTCTTCTGTTGTGTCCTGCTAAAAGTTATCACTTTGAACATAGTCATCAAAGATAATGCCTCCATTAAGATCTTTGATGCATTTAACACCCACGTGATATCACATCATTTTGTATGGTAGGCTCTCCATGAACTTGTCCCAAAGGATATATCTTCATGGTTTGCAAATACGAACGAGGAATATGTTTCGCTTGTAGATAGCACATCATCCGTGTAAGTAACCAAATTCTCTGAGAAACCCTACTTTTAAGCTTTAAACTCAGCCCAATGAATGTTTTGGTTTTCCACTGTTAAAATTATGGGTGCAAATCATCCATTAGTTACTTAGCTTAGCTGTGCTTAGCTACTCCATGTTCTAGTGTTTAATCAAGGATACTGATTCAACAAACTCAGCATTAGGCATTACAAATCTGTTTCTGACTTCAGTAATTCTAAGCAGTTACCTATTATAAATTTTTAAGGAAGCAGTCCAAGTCTTCATTGGTTGTATTTTTGAACATCAGAGGAGAAATCTGCTTCACTTCACCCAGAGAGAACTGTGACAGTTGTGGCATTTTACCTCCAACAGTGTCTCAGTTAACACTAGGTTACTACATTCATGGTGTGAGGAGTACAGAGTAACGTTGGTGCACAGGGATCTCTACATTAAGATAAACCTTTCATTCTCTCCTGTTGAAGGACAGAACAATGAGTTACCACAGGTAATTAATCTTCTTGTTTGTATGCCCTATTTTAGATGTAGCAGCATGCATTTCTTGGTGAAGAAGTTATTATCTGCTACACAGGGCATCTTCTTCATCACTAGGTGCTCACCCCACTATCTTAATTAGTGGTGAAATAATTATAGTTAGAAGATTCTATCCACTAACAGTACACGAAGTTTACTTCAAAAGACCATGGGTAACAATGACCAGGGTTGGGGTGGATTATCCTGATCACCAACAATCTGAGTGTTCTATAGATGTAGCCCCATTTAGTCTCAGAACCATTCACCTACAAGTCAGCAAATCAACTTTTAATCATTCATGCCTTCTGTATGTTGACGTCTAAATTTAAAGCTCAAACTTGTTCAGCAGCTCTGGAGATTCCAGGCTGCAGGTTCCACTCCTGAGTTTTTTGTTGGATTGAGATTGTATACATGGAACTTCACAGCGTAAGCAGAATAACTACATCAATGAGAGGGTTTCTCCTAGATCTGACCACTCTCTTAACTCACATTCTACCCTAACCATCAAACTCTTCCCCTTGCCCATAAGTACTTCTACTTTTGTAAAATGCATTTTACAAAACAAAGAGTTAAGAATATCAAGGAAAATAAAAACAACAACTTTAAAGACAAATCCAGTGATCAAGACACAAAATTTAACCACGCAACCCAGCTTTATGATATCCTCAGGTGTACTTATTACCCAATGATATAAAAACGACATCAATGGAAATAGCAGAAAATGTTATTCAGGTTAAATCTGAATTTCCGACATTGATTAAGTTAAAAAAAAAGAAAGAAATTGTACACAATGTCAAGAATGAAGTGAAAATAACATGCATTTACAATCTACATAAATCAAACAGTCCAGAATACATAGGCACAAGATAGCGCTATGCTTTGAAATCTGGAGAGAGCTATTTATCAAAAGATAATCTGAATAAGACTGAGAGCTGATCACTATATAAAAAAAACAAATATGATTGTTCCTCCCATAGAGCATGTGTTACCCACGTCACTGGTCATCATTAAGTAAAAGAACACAGTTCTATATCTGTTCTCTCCAGAAAAACTGCATGATTCAAAACTACATAGCTCTACAGTAACACCTTCCATAAGAAAATTCAGAGAAACTAAAGAGAAATGTCCTATGGCAATGAGTAACTATGACAGTAACAAGTTATCTGCATTCCAAAACTAGGCATACTACATGATTTAAGGTTACACTCTCGCCCAAATGCATGCACTTGTGAAAATTAGAAGTGAACATAAGATGTTCTCCTATCCAAACGAGAAATGAAAATAAACACTTAATTTTCATGTATTAAAGTGCTCAAATTATGTAAAATTACATGATAGTTGAGTTTGTTCTTTCAATATCTAAAATAACGTGATTGTTAAGTTTGTGTGTTTTAGGTACCTAAATTCATATGGTAGTTGATATTTTATGTGTTTAATGTATGTGAAATCACGTGATAGTTGTCTTACTTTTATTGTGATATTGATAATACACAATTAAGTACGTATAAGCCTATTTTCACATGTTTCAGGTACCTAAAAGCCCAAAAACTTCCTGGAAAAACAGGAAGAGTAGCCTTTGATGAGAAGGGAGATCGTCTTAACAGTGACTATGATATTGTAAATGTTGTAGATGGCGAGACCGTCAAAGTTGGAGATTACGTATACTCTAAGGTAAATATCTATTTTTGTCTATATGCTTTTCTTAGGTACATATATTCTAGATGAAGAGTCATAAAAATTATGTTTTTATATTAGTTAGGCGTTTGTTAATGACAATTAATCGGTTATCTTATTCCTCTTTTATGAGCAGATATTCTAGATATGTTGTTATTTATTTGCTCCAGTTAACATCATGGACTTTCGATACGTGTGTATTGTAGATTTACAGAAAAAGAACGTCAGATTTATTCTTTTTCAAACATTCTTAGTTTAGATATTTCGAAATGTTGTCATTCCTACTTCAGGAACCCCACCTCTTTGTCATGAGATTATCTTTTGAACATGCTTTTGCTAAGAGTCTTTATAATAATTTCTACATTTACTTAGCTTTGCTAAATACGGAATGCAAACAAGTTACAGTTTTCAAGAGGGAAGTCTTCTATGATTTACCGACTGGAAACATTGGAATTTGGCTGCATTTAGGGGGGGGGGCGTGGCAAGTTGTTTACATCAAAAAAATATTTACAAATAATGCGCCTGCATTTGTCTGTTCGGAATTTTTCTCGATCAAACGCTATAAAGTTCATATCGTTAGAAAATCCTTTGTTTCGGAAAGTCCGGATTTCATACTGGCTTTTCACTTTACCTGTTATTTTGCTTAGTCAAACTTTTCAATGCAACAAGTATGGTAGGCGATGGAACAATGTCGTTGTCATTACGTGACGACTGGCCTCTGGTAGGATAGCGGTAAGTCTTCGGATTTACAATGATAAAAATCAGGGGTTCGATTCCCCTCGGTGGACACAGCAGATAGCCCAATGTGGCTTTGCTAAACAAAGCACACACATACAGACTGGCTTCGGTTTCAACTTTAGTTTTTTATTTGCAAAGTATTTCACCCAAACTACACTTAACCCGCGTGTTATTTTCTAAAAATAAGCATTACACTAAATACAATTTATATGGGCTTTCTCAACTTATTTAGGTCTAAAGTACGCATGCGCATTTCGTTCAAAATCACATGCTTATCACCTTGTGAACACACATTTAGACATTTCTGCATATTCAACTAAGTTTGCTTTCATTACAACTTTACATTTACAACAATTTAGCTTTGGTTCGTTTCATAGACTGCTATAAACACCTTTTAGCTACTTTTTTCTTTACTACGGGTTTTATTCTTCGTTTTTGTGAGTTTCTTTGCATCAACTAGTAAAACCTATCATTCACTGAACGCTAGTAACTGTTTCATACTCTGTATACTATTGTAAATACCATTACTATACTTTATTGCTTACTTTACGTGTGGTTTTATTAAATAAAGTTACGTCTACGTGAGTTTGTTTCTTTGACCGCGTAAACGTTTTTCAAATACGCTAGGATTCATCAATTGAACACACAATGCCTGCAAGAAAGCGTAGCTTAAACGGCGTGCGTGAAAATGATGGAATAAGAAAAGTTCAAGGGAAAGATATGAAAAATACCGCAAATGTTTTGCGGGTCGCGGATAGTAATACTATAATACACTAAAAAAAGGCTTTATCGTACATTAATTACCTTTTCGAATAGGTACTACAACAGAAACCTTTGTAATAAGTAGACATTTTCTTAATGTTGGTCACTAGAACGTTCATCATAAATATTATGGTGGTATATGTAATACTGAAATAAATCAAAAAGTATTGTACCACAATAATAATGTGTATAGATTTTTCAACAAGCTTTTCGCAAGTGTTGATCAAAACGTTGTTAGAATTAAAAGGCATGCCTGGCTGGCATGGTCAGGTCGTTAGGACAGTCGACTCGAAATCTGAGGGTTGCGGGTTCGAATCCCATTCCCGAACATGCTCGATCTTTCAGCCATGGAGATGCTATAATGTGACGATCAATCCTAGTATTCGTTAATAAAGAGTAATCCAAGTGTTAGCGGTGGGTAGTATTGGCTAACTGCATTCTTTCTAGCCTATCCCTTCAAAATTAGGAATTGCAAGCGCAGATAGCATTCGAGTAGTTTTGCGCGAAATTCAAAACAAACAAACAATCAAACATGTCATTGAAATGGTTGAAGGGTAGAGAGAGAGTAGACATGATTTCAAAGAGCGTCGCAATACCTCGTCAAAAACACCGACGATCACCTACCTTCCCTCCATTTAGGCTCACATCGAGACTTGCGCCGGATTAAAAGAGACCACCACCCGTACGATTCTCTAACTAGTCAAACCCTATGACGGATCAAAGACAAAAACCTCCAAACAACACCGTACTGTAGACTAAGCTGAGAACTTCAAGTATAACCAACCCGCCAAAGAAAGACCAACAGCGAGAGTGTGAATAGAAAACCTATTATTAGACTAACCACTTCTTAGCCAAATTAAACAACAAACAAACAATTAGACACGATAGAACAACAAGGTGGTGCTTTAAGAAGAAAAGAAAAGCATGTAAATTAAACGACTTCGCGGAATATTCAGATAACGATACAGAGGCAGGAGAAACAGCTCATACTGAGGTAGAGTTCGTGAACCCTGTAGATAAATCCAAAGCTCAGCTAGTATGAAACAAACCAACACAGGTAAAACCTTGAATGTTGATATAATAAGCACAAATGAAACAGAAACAAACACAACAGCTCATAGGGAGGTAGAGTTCGTGAACCCTGTAGATAAATCCAAAGCTCAGCTAGTATGAAACAAACCAACACAGATAAAACCTTGAATGTTGATATAATAAGTACAAATGAAACAGAAACAAACACAACAGCTCATAGTGAGGTAGAGTTCGTGAACCCTGTAGAGAAATTCAAAGCTCAGCTAGTATGAAACAAACCAACACAGATTAAACCTTGGATGTTGATATAATAAGTACAAATGAAACAGAAACAAACACAACGCAACACTCTGACGAAGAAGATACAAATCAAGATGGGTTAATCCCAGTAACATCAAAAAGACAAAAAAGAAATACCACACAAAAAAGAAAGAAACTAAAGAATCAACTAGCACAAACCCAACAATTAAAAAATCACCACCAAAATACACAATAATCGTCGAAGGAATACCCGGAAGTTATGACCAACCACAACTACCTTAAGAGATTGTGAGGTGTAAACTAAACGCAGCTATAGTCAATATAAAACATCTGCCCATAGGCGGTGTCGTTGTCCGAGGACAAGAGATCGCTGACCTGAACAGACTACTGAAAGAATGGCCAAACGAAGCGTTTGGAATAGGTCAAATCAAAGTTTACCTACCCGGAAGTAAACCCTAGCCCAAACCCTGTGTAATACTGGGAGTCTATTACTCCATTAACAGTGACCAAATACACGGAAGCACTAGCAGAACAAAACATACCACATACAAAAGTAGAAAGAATAATCTCGAAAACCACACAAACCTTGTAAAGGTAGATACAGACAATACATACAATACATTAAACCAACGGATTAATACTTTGGTATCAAAGATACCACGTAGAACAAACGAACAAAATCACCAGCAATGGTAGTCACACAATGCTTCCATTGCCAGGGATTTGGACATGTCTCTGCAGCATGTCTGGCAGCACCGCGATGCGTCGGATGTGATGGAGAACATCACACAACACAGTGCACAAAAGACAAACCACAACCAAACTGTAACTGCGGGGAAAATCACACAGCGAATTACAAAGGCTGTGTGAAATATAAACAAATAAAACAATACATATACGACATTAAAAACCCAACAGAAAAGAGTACCGAAATAATAAACATCACCACCTAACAAATAAAATAACCACTGCTTCCAAGGAACAAGGAACAGTAACATATGCACAGACACTTAAAACATCAACTACACAACAATAACCAATCCAAACCACTAATAATGAAATACAAGCACACCAACAAGACACACAAACAACTGAAACACAAACAAAGATACAACAACAGAGACAAATAAAAACGAAAAAACTCGCATATTCATGAACAACATCAAAAATATATTCACATACTTCAAAGAATACTCGCAACCAACACAAACGAAAGATTGTATCGAACTTATAATACAAATAGCCAAAAACACATCACACCATACATACCACAAATAATCCAATCAATCACTGGACACCTACTCTCTTAAATTCACAGTCTTACATATCAACATCCAAGATGCACTTGCTTCCAAGAAACATGAGACTGAAGATATTACTAACACACTTAAACCATATACATGTGTAATAAGTGAAACCTGTATATATAAAAACCATAGATTTAAAATCAAAGAATATTCAATAATAAGAAAAGATAGATTAAACGACAAGGACTAAAACAGAGGAATCTTACTATTGTATAAGTCTGATCTTATTACTTCATCCAATGAATGCATAGCCATAGATGTGCTAACTGAAAATGCGTTTATTGTAACAGTAGCAGGCATCTACTGCTCACCGAATAGAAACTTAGATACAAATCTATTGTGCCATATTAATAACGATAATACAAATGCCATTATAACAGGCGATTTAAATAGTAAACATACAATTTTTAACTGCGACTCAACAAACTTAAATGGAAGAATATTATATAGACATTTATTTGATACAAATACAGTACTATTAAATGATGCCACCACGACACATATTTCTTATGCACATGGCACCATTGATATACTGGATCTTTGCCTGTGTTCATGCAATATGAGTCGAAAATTCGTAAATTTTCAAGTTGGAAAAGACACTGACAGCGATCATTTTCCTGGCTGGAGTACCTTCAATCCCACCCCCTCCCCCATACTAATAAACGCATACAAACCGAAAAATTCAACTATAAAAAAGCAAATTGGATCGAATATAAATCAATCATAGACAAAATCTTATCAAAACAAATGAGAAGAAATGTCGCGAACGCATCAAACATAGATGTATATTATCATACAATCACTCAAACATAGATGTATATTATCATACAATCACTCAAACATAGATGTATATTATCATACAATCACTTAAACATACATGTATATTATCATACAATCACTCAAACATAGATGTATATTATCATACAATCACTCAAACATAGATGTATATTATCATACAATCACTGGGTGCCTTATCACGGCAGCCAAGCAAACAATACCAAAACATAAAACAGTACAAACATGGAAACCACATGCAGGTCACCTAATGCTAGACTGAACAACTTACATTAGTTTTAAACTAAGCAGAAAACATTTACAAGGGTATTTATGTAAAATGTTCTCAAATTAGGATTGAAACTAGTGAAATGTGTGAGTTACATACTGAACTGTTCCTGAAGTACAGGACTATGTAATACCGAACATAAGCGAAGGTGTATACAACACATGAATGTAACTGCCGATAACTACATGTTGTACCTACACGTACATTCTTCACTGAAAGGGGTCGGAGTAAGTGCAGTTTACTCCGAACTCATGCTGTATCTACACGTACATTCTTCACTGAAAGGGGTCGGAGTAAGTGCAGTTTACTCCGAACTCATGCTGTATCTACACGTACATTCTTCACTGAAAGGGGTCGGAGTAAGTGCAGTTTACTCTGAACTCATGCTGTATCTACACGTACATTCTTCAGCAACCATGCAACATCGCATAGGAGGGAGGAAGAGGTCAACGAACCTGAACCTTCCAAGTATTAAAGACTTAAATCCCGACACAGTGAAAGTGTGTGTGTGTGTACCATTGAAATGGATATTTGCGAACAACGTGATAAATTTTTTACAATAAATTGTAAAACTGCATTTATTTTTTCTACAAGATCATCACTGCCTCTTGTAACTATTCAGAATAAGACTAATAGAACAATGAAAAGTATTTTTATCCAAGTAGTTCATCGTAATTAATAAAGACTCTGCTGCACAATTTTGTTCTAAAGTAACAATATATTAAAAGTAAATCAAAAACTTTCCGTTCACTGACTTCTACCGACATTTGGTTGGTTGTGCGTCTCCAAAAAAAGTAGGGAATATTTATGCACACACACACATTAAATTTATTACGCAAGCTTTACTGTTCTGTTTTCATTTAAAATCTTGTTTTTTTCCTCAACAGGATTCATTGTATAAAAATTAGGCTATTGTTTTCTTTGAGAATTTTGTAAATAATTATCGTATGATTCATTTTTGTTAAAAGCCGAATAAAACAGGATTTAATTTTGTTTTTCTAGTCTCAAATGGACCTGAAACTCAACATTAGCGACATCAGATGGCCTGGAAACCAAACAACAAAGCCTCTAGGGTATATCGTCCCTACCCATTTAAAGGTTCAATGTACTTTTTGTAATTCTTCTTCGCGTTTTAAACCGTATAATAGCTTAATTACTGGGAACCTAACGTGTACAAATACAATTTTTATCTTAAGAATACAGTAATCACTCTGAGTTTTTACGTTATCACTGAAATGCTTTTTTTTTTTTTTACCAAATGTGAAACGAGCTGCAAATAAAACATTGATTAGCTGCTACGTTTAATCAAATTAATTGTTTATTTTCTTTTAACAAAGGGTTGATTGGATTAAGAGCACAACTTGTTCCAAATTACTAGCCAATGACAAATCTTACTGACATTTTTGTTTTCCTTTTCCAGCTAAATTTCCTAAAAACGTTGAGCCAAATATGTTTATTCTGCTTGGAAAATTAATACTATTAAATATTTGATATAATACATGAGAAATTCATTTTAACTATTTATCAACCGTACAATTTTACAAAAGTCTTAACTTACTGGGTTATGATGCGGATAACTGAACGATGTGATAAACTTGTCAATATCACTATACTACGAAAAAAAAAAAACCTTTTGTGTTTTAGTGGAACGCTCCTGAAGAAACTGTAAAGCGAAACGTAAAGTGTCCAGTTAAAGAAAAATAACAAATTTGGTGTTATAAGGTCGTTTATTTCTAGTATTAATATTTCTTCTATGCACCAATATGCACTACAGATATTAAATAATGAACTGTTTATATCACTCTATATTATACGCAGGCCCGGCATGGCCAGGTGGTCAGGGCGCTCGAATCACAATCTGCGGGTCGCGGGTTCGAATCCCCGTCACACCAAACATGCTTGACCTTTCAGCCGTGGGGGCGTTATAATGTGACGGTCAATCCCACTATTCGTTGGTAAAAGAGTAGCCCAAGAGTTGGCGGTGGGTGGTGATGACTAGCTGCCTTCCCTCTAGTCTTACACTGCTAAATTAGGGACGGCTAGCGCAGATAGCCTTCGCGAAATTCATAACAAACAAACAAACAATATTACACACATAGATACAAATACGTATATACAACACACTTTTTTATTCATATATAGTATATATATGTATTTAAAAAAGACAACTTTATATTTTAACGAAATATAATAGCTAGACGTTATATAGTGATGCATGGTTTTCGGAAAATATTTAAATAAGCTTTCCAAGATATTCAGCCAGACGCACTTAACCTTACAGGCTGCGCGTCTGATCTCTTTATCTACGGATAGCAACCCGCAACTAGTCTGTTTATGAAAGGGTCAGAAAACGGAAATTATTAATTATGAACAGCAGTCATTGTCATTGACTACTAGAGAAGGTTTTTCCGACTCTTTGGGGAAGGGGGGGGGGCATCGAGCTATAGCTTAGTTAGATTGTTTATTAATCCAGCCTTGTGTATACTTGTTTTGATCGTGTTTCATTTTAATATTTTCTTAATACCTGAACAACAAAAATGATGAAATAACTTTAAAGTTAGCAACTAAAGGACTATACAGATTAACGAAATTATTATAATTATCACATGATACAATTAAATATCATCTTACATTTAAACTGAAACTGACTGAGAAATTTATTCAAGAGCAACGTTTGTGTGTTTTCGATTCAAAACTTCAAAAAAAGAAATTTTCGAGTATTATACAAACAATTCTTCTTATTTTTTTAAGAGTGGATTTTACGGTTAAATGTTTGAAACGGTACCAAAAATTACGAAATTCATTAGTAATAGATATGAGATTTTAAAACATATAAGCATAAACACGATTTGACATCTCGAGATCTTAATGTTGTGTTCAATGTAGGTTTTGGCAACTTACCAATAAAAATAGAATGAAAATGTGGCATATATCAATCTAAGTATACATCTGAGTGTAAGCAGCAAGGATTAAAGCACGTGGTTCAACTGTTTCGAACTTCATTATGTTAACATCTGTGCTTATAAACCAAGGTTTTACAATTAATTTGAATGAACATTTCGTGCCATTAGATTGCAATCAAATATTTTAAATCTCTTTAGCCAGTGCACTGTCATTGTTTTATGTTCATAATTTCGTATTTGCTTGTTTGCTCTGTTCGTACCTTTAAATAATTGGTTATGTTTTCAGATTTATAAGAATATATTTATTAGAATACACTTATATTTGTCGTGTACAGTAAGTCGGTAACCGCTTAATTGTGTTCATGAAGTTGAAAGAGAAATGTAATTATAATTTTTTTTATAATCTTCCAACATCCGCTGCTGTAATTTAAATAGATTCAAATCCTTTAAATCTTATATATATTTTAAAGCAAAATTTTGATTTTGTTAAAGTTAATTTAACTTCATTATGAAAAACTGTTTGAACTCTGCCATGCCTTGATGGGCCAAGCTTATTTGTGACGTGTTCTAGCCATATCTGTATCTTATATTGATCAATACATTAGTGTGCTGATGAACATTTCAAAGATGCCAATATTACTTCCTTCAGATAGCTCGAACTCTATGCAACATTTAAAGTTATACCTTTTTCTTTTCTATCGAAATTATTTCACAACAATTGCATACTAATTAAGACCAGGACAGAGTGTATTTTCATTTTGCGAAACATTTTCAGTAGTGCTTTTGTGTCTCCATCGCTAATATCTCGTATTCAATGTACTTTCAGTATTCAAATTGAATTCATTATCAACATCGCTGTAAGATGATGACATTAGTTGCACTTCGTTTACTACCGTTTGTAACCGTACAATGGTGTTATAGTGTGGCATTGCTTGTGGCGGCATCTGTTGGAATAATAATTAATTCTTCAGTATAACACACTTCAATTTCTATTTATTATGAGGTAGATCTTAACAAAAAATTATAAATACATTATATCTCGGTACAAACTAAAGTATTCTATGCAAGTCCCATTAAGTTTGTTATGTTATTTATAAATCTAGCTCTATTATTCTTATTAACTTTTGTCAAACCTGTTTTAAACAATTATTAATGTAAATCTAACACAAGGTGGTCACATCTGAAGAAGAACCTTTCGTATGGGCCAGACCCGTTGAAAGCGATGATGAATGCAGTGAAGATGAAATCCTCTGTCCACGCGCTAACAGTTCATTGCGTAAGTTTCACCCCTTTGTCGAATAAAAATAATTAAAATATTTTACACTTTTCAGGATAATAGTAATAAATTAAGAGTTGATTTTACTGGTCTTCACGGAATCTTCCAGGAGAGAAAATAAATCTTTAAAACGAACAAATTAACGTCTTAAATAAAGAGTACGCCTATGCTTGCTTATAGTTTTCTAACAAACTATTGACAGGTGCAGAGTTAGAAATATCACCCAATCATTTTAATGGTGTTTTTTTTTCGATTCATCAGTGATTTTTAGAATATTGAGCGGATTTTAACTCAATGCCTTAATCGTAACATTATTAAACTATTGTCCAACATCTATATGTTGTTGCAAATCGAAAATCGTTCTTGCCTTATTTTAAAAAACATTCTAAAACATTTAATAATTACAATATAATCGGCTTTAATCAATGCTAGAGTTATTTTTAGCTTCTAGTTTTGAACAGTAATGCTTCTTTTATTATGTTCTAAGTAATGTTAATTTCCTTTGATTTATTTGTTCCATGTTTCTTTAATTGTGATGCTATACCCTTACTATTAAATATACATCAAAGTCATATTTGGGATATTTTTTTCTCTTTATTACACAATATGCTTTAAAACTATACTAACTAAAGTTAAACATAAAATTTTACTCTTAAGGTCGGATTCTGAGTTCTCATTAGTCCATCTTTGTTATTTAAATATATAGTTATTGTTTTTAATTCCATATATATCTAATGTATAGTGGTAATTTAAGAATATACAGTTTGGGTCAAAAATTTGTGCATATTTTGCAACAAATAAGGTCATCATTATTAAGATGGAATACAAATACACTTAGTGTTGTTAAACTGAGAAATCCATCTTATGTTAAACATTTATATATGTAATTTATATAATGAGACTGGTTCTATAGACATCATGAACGATTTATTAGAACAGCAAACAGTTTTTTCAGATACCTGTAGAGAGATATGTAATTCAGCATTTCACCTATCTCAAAAAACCTTATCAAAACATATATAATACAAAATATAACATTAAATTATTATAAATAGCGTCTGTAACCTTATATCAGTTCATATTTAACATTCAGTACTTAGTTGGTCCTCCTCATACTCTAATAATCTCCGCAAGGCAACTTGGCATGCTATCGATAAGGTTATTGATGTAATCCACTGTGATTTCATCCCAACTAGAAGGTGCTACAACTTAGCTACAGTAGCTAGTTTAGGGTCGTGGTCAGCAATTTTCTGGCTCACTTTGCTGGCCATGACAGTCCTCCTGGTCGAGATACTTCTGTACAATATGCGCACTGTGGGCAGGAACATTGTCATCGTGGAACACAAAATTATTGCCAAACCTTGCCCTAGCATATGGCAGAAATATTATCTCCATATGATGTCTGTAGGAAGTGCCATTGACGTTCAGTCTTCCTTCATCTGTTCTCCAGGCAAACGACGAACACGAATCCTACCATCAGCTTTAACAAGCCGGAAACATGACTGCAAATATTACATGTCGCCAGTGTAGTAACTGTAAGTTATCATGCTGTCTTGCCAAAGCAATTCAGTGACAACGGTGAATTCTGGTTAATATTGGTTTGCAGATAGCCCTTCTTGCAAAATAACCTTGTTTGGTCAGTTTCCTATTCACTGTTCTTCTGGATATCCTGGAATTAATGTGTTCATGTCATTCTTTTCGTAAGAAGTTGCAAGACTTTTTCGACCTTGACGCGTTAACCTGACCAAAACACGATCATCTCGGTCAGTAGTTTTTCGGCCAGTAGACTTTCCTGGAACAACGTTTCCTGTTGTCTGATGACGTTTCAGGATTCAGGATACAGCATACTGGGGGTACCCTACTTTTCTGGCAAAGTCCGTTTGCTCCATCCTGTTTCTGGACAGTCGAACAATTTGACGTCCTATAACTTCTGACACGTGACGAGGCATGATTCTACATCAAGTACAGAGAAACTGTCTGAACAAAACGTTGATCCGTTTCGAAAAAGAATGTACCAAAAGCACACCCTTTTATACAAAACAGGTGTGTATGTGTGTTTTCAAAAACAGATGCTGAAAACAATTTATAACACACCAGAATAAAAACTGTGATGTTTGTCTATTTTCTCCGTTACTACTCAATAACTACTCCATGCATGTAGACAACAACATCTATGTAAAACAGTATGCACACATTTTGGCCAAGACTGTATATGTACGTTATTTATAAACATACAGTTATAGTATTGATGATTTTATTGAGTTGTGCCTGGAAGTATTAAAATTTCATTTTAGGTACGAATTATTTACGTGCCTTAATTGAAAAGTTCTTATTTAATAGTAAACTAACAAATACAAAAAATGTACGAGTCATTTTTTTGTTTAACAAAATAAATTTAACGTGTTCATCCAAGTTATATTAAAATAATTGAAAATATTTTTCAACTCGACAAAAATATATCTATCAATTAGTATCTCTCAGTAGAAACGTAGAAAATATTATTAAACGAAGTCGTCATGCTCGCTTCACTCCGAAATCATCCGTGAACGAGCATACTATATATAATGAATATGGCGCAGTAATGGCAAGCGAAAGCTTCATAGAGCTGCTTAACCAAGAGGTAACTTAAATTATGTGGACGTTAAGGTTGTAATTGATTTTACATTTTTATTTCTTCAGAACAAACCTACTGTTGCCGGGGTTACTGTATGGATTTACTGAGAAAACTGGGAAATGATTTGAACTTTACCTATGATCTTTATCAAGTCGAAGATGGCCAGTTTGGCAGTTTCGAATACGTAAGTGCGTTGTGTGGTTTTATGATACATTGTTCCACATTTTTAACTTTTTATTTATTTTATTATTTTGTTTTTGCATTTCACCTATCTTCATGATTTCTTAATAATAAATTTTATGTGATTCCAGTTTTACTCTAGCTTTTTCCAGCTTATAATAATGCTATTAAAAAACACTTTAACAATAGTTTTATACCTATATTATAGCTAATCGACTGTTGTTGTTACTTGAAAATATACACTTTTGCAAGGTGTAGTTTGTTAAAATTATCAGAGACTAATACATCATATATATACATATATTCTGTTTTTTCTAATATATTTTTTATTTTATTTACGATTTTAGTGTTTGAATAACAGTTACTACGTGCTCGTGAAACTATGCAGTTAAATGTGAAATACCTCTAAGTTTTTCCTTAAGCCACTGATCTATATAGAAGAAACTGGTTTTACTAGTTAAGTGTGAAATACCTCTTTTTTTTTCCTTAAGCCACTGATCTATATAGAAGAAACTGGTTTTACTGGATAAGTGTGAAATACCTCTAAGTTTTACTTAAGCCACTGATCTATATAGAAGAAACTGGTTTTACTAGTTAAGTGTGAAATACCTCGTTTTTCCTTAAGCCACTGATCTATATAGAAGAAACTGGTTTTACTAGTTAAGTGTGAAATACCTCTTTTTTTCCTTAAGCCACTGATCTATATAGAAAAAAACTGGTTTTACTAATTAAGTGTGAAATACCTCTATTTTTTTCCTTAATCCACTAATTTATATAGGAGAAACTGTTTTCTCATCTTATATAAACACAGTTTTGCGCGTGTCCTTTCACAGTTTACAGATCATTCAAAAAGAATCAACTCCAGTATTAGTTAACAACAACATTATGGCTATATTTGGGATATTAACATAGTCCTAGTGCTGTTGTACTTAAATACATATTACAATTCAAGGTCTGTACATGAGTTTGCCATATAGCGTTGCATTACCTATGATTTCGCTGCCTCACCTCACCTCGAATTTAATGTCCGATTCCATAATATAAAAAAAATAACGCGTTATTTCTATACTGTATGAAGTATCTCTAGTAAAAGGTTTGTATTTTCTCAAAAGATTTAGAATAAAAATTTAGACGGAAAGGTTATTTTTCGCGTTGGTTTTATTGTTAGAAATGTTCTGTGATCTGAAATGTGGCTCATCCGCTTTTTTTACTATATAATAACGCCACCTATTGTTAATAATTGGAAATACTGAGGAATTGGCAAAAGTATTTAACTAAGTGTACCGAACGTTTCTCAGCCCGACTAATTATTCACTAGCCTCCATTACAATTCTAGGTTAATGGATCTAAGAAGAAATACTGGACTGGGATGATGGGAGATCTAGTGTACGAAAAAGCAGACATGATTGTTGCCCCTCTCACTATCAATCCTGAGCGATCCCAAGTTATTGAATTTACTAAACCTTTCAAATACCAGGGAATCACCATACTTGAGAAAAAGGTAGGTGAAAAGAAAGATAAACGTTTATTAAATACGTTCACAATACTTTCAGGATATCTAATTATATTTTAAAATAAGCATAAAGAAACACGTTGAAAGCAATTAATCGTCAAAAACCGGTTGATTGTGATCATCATCACCACCATCATTAGGAGCGAAGCATTAATTTGAAAGGGTTTTCTTTTTTTTATTGAAGATCTCTTGAGTCTTTCCTCAATTTTAGTGAGTTTTTCATATATTTTTCTAGATTTTAAAATTTTCTCATCCACTGTTAGTTGTAATATGACATATTTTTCTCCTTAAATGACCATAATCAGCAACCTAAACATTATACTAGTGGCTGTAGCAACAGTATAACAACAACAACAACAATGATATTATCTATATTCACATCCTTAGTTTTCTCTTAACGAAAATATCATAAACTGGATGGTGTCTTGTTTTTTGATTGTAGCCCATTCGCCGAGAAATTTCATTTTTCATCTGATTCATAGATGTCAACAGGTAATTACTTTGGAAAGCGTATGTAACAGTTAAATTCCAGCAGTGGTAAGCAGAGTGCAGCAACTTGTAAGAGGTTTAAATCCAAAAACGCAAAGATCTGAGGCAAAAGCGGCTCACGTTCCCTATCTAGGCAACAGTACGCAACACAATCAGACATTTCCGTCTGGAAACGAGCCCAACAGAATATGGGCTTACCAGGATAACGTTCCTATTCGTTCCTCCTTTTTAGCTGTCGCATACCTAAGGCAGCTGGAGAATCGAAGGGACGTCCATGCTATTACATATAAGGACATGCCGTTCATTAACGTCGACTAACGTAGCGCCTTAGGATTTCTGTGCGATCGTACTGTTCAAACAGGCGCGGGAAAACAGTCATCTTCGTACACTAGATGGATTAAGAAAAACCCTGCACGGAGGATTTTGGACGTGACAGCCTTTCACCGAGAAGTATAATCTGCCTGTGGTTCACAGTTACTATTAGAGAATTGCGGTGGCGAATGTAACATTCATTTTCATTTCAAATAAGATAAGTCTCATTAACATTTGGTGATTGTGTTGCCATAGAAAGGCAACTTAAACCATTATGCTACTTTTTCAAACCAATTTTGAATAATACAAGCGCAGTGAATTGTTACGTTATGATGTTGTAAGATTTATTGTCCATCAAGGAGGAATTGTAGCCTTGTGAACACTTTAGGCCATAACTTCAGGTACTCTAGACCTTTTTTTTTGTCTTTCCAAGGAATTCACAGGGTACACCAGAACAATACAAGCAAGACCAAGTACCCCATGTGATTTTCTTTATATTTTTTTATCATCGGTAACGAACAAAACGAAACGAGTCGAGCGCCCTAATCACCTGGCCATGCCGGGCCATATATATTGATGGCATCCAACATGAAAAAACCTAGTTATATTAATGACAAAGATTTAATTATTCTATATACAAACGTTTACAATACTGCGACTTCTTTTAAAGTAAATGCTAACTTATCAGGAGATTAAATGTGAACAAGAAATGTCACAGACTCTGTGAATGAAATGATCATATACGACACATTTGTCAAACCACAATGAACACCAAAGTTTCTTTTTGAAAGATGTGAAGTTTAATCTACGAGGCTTGTTTTAGTTCAATACGAATGCAAAGGCTATGAAACGTCAATTTTCAACGTTCAAAGGTATAACAGTCTTTGAATTTGGATAAACGAAAGATAGCTGATTCTACAATTAAACAAACCTGTTAAAAATTCAAACATTGTATGATTACAAATTCATACAACTGAGTAAGACGACGACACACTGAAGAATCGTTCGGCGATATAAATAAAATAAAATGATTCTTACAGTACACAGTAAAAAGCTGCTGAATGCCAATTCTACAAATGGTTAAATATATATATATACGACCACGAAGACATGGGTAATAAGAAATGTTTCACTTGTTAATCAGTGTCAGCTAAATATATCGTTTAGAATATTTGTGTTATTGATTTCAGTGCTATGAACAAACACAGATTACTCCAACTTTACACCTTAACATTTATTACTAAAGCTTTGACTGCAGAATCTATACTTTAATGTATGAAAAAGTTGAGGGATGCAAATACAGGAACTTGCTAGAATATATGAGTTTAAAGAAGTTAATATTGAACAAACTCTCTTAATTTATATCTTTAATGGTATTTATATTCTTACTAACAACACTTTTAAATGCTAGCTATCAATGTATCTTCACGATATTTTCTGTTATAAGTGAGATTGTCAACAAAAGCGTGTCACTTTTCTAGTATTATAGATATGAAATACAGTATTGGGAATAACCAAAAGTTTGTATCTGTAGCTTCTGATTGTTTGATTGGTTATTGAGCACAAAGCTACACAATTGGATATCTATGCTGTGCTTACCAGGGATATTGAAACACGATTTTTAAAGTTATAAGCCTCCAGACTTACTATCAAGTCACTGAGGGGGGAGGGGACATAGCTTTAGGGAAATCCTTGATAAAGATATAGATGATTTTAATCTTTATATTATATCTATATTTTTAAGTTCTTCCTTCGTTCGAAACTTCATCTTGCGATATTTTCAAGACCATTAATGTCAATATTTGAAATAAACACCAAATATTTTGAAGTCTCTTTGGTGTGTTAGAAAAATGCCTGGTAAAACTGCCAAGCTGTGTGAGAATGAATATAAATATTTACATTAAAATAATTTTGATTTATAATGTTTTTTTTTTAGTTATGTTTAATATTGTACTTGTCTTTCGTCATAAACTTATAACTGAAATATATAGGGTTGCATAAATTCATATTTCTACTCTTTGAAACAAAACTTGAAAACAAGAACAACTGATAGTTCAATACAAATAATAAAGTTTCTTTTTTATATTGTTCAATTCTTCTTTTGGCAGTGATAAATTACAGAATATGTTAAACATATAAGAAAAGGTCGAAGTGTTTATTACCATTCTCATATTTATAATTTCATATGCAATAGCATTGTATTAAAAATCAGTAGTTTATTTCCACCCCTTTTATTATATTAATTGTAAACTATAGTAAGGATAGACAACTTGGTTGAAATCTCTGCAAATAAATACTTGTGGAACTATGAACAGCTTTAATCGGGGGTTTGGATGCATTCTAGGAACTTCTTACTTCCTTCATTCGAACTTTCCTCTTACTTTATTTGAACTTCCTTTATTTGAACTTCCTACTTCCTCTATTCGAACTTCTTACTTCCTGTTTTTGAACTTCCTACTTCTTGTACTTGAACGTCCTACTTCCTGTATCTGAACTTCTTATTTCCTTTATTTGAACTTCCTTCTTCCTCTATTCGAACGTCCTACTTCCTTTATTCCCTCATGATAAATATTTGTTTTATATACCTACAGTTCTAAGTAAAAATCGAAAACCTTATTCACCATATATAGAATATTGAAAGAAAATGTAAAAGGAGTTAGAGATTAACTGTTTTTCCACTAACATAAATTTTCTCACCGAGAACTTCAGAAATTCTAACATTTTGACTGCACAGCTTACTCATCAGGCAGACTTCATGTTTTAAATACATGATATCTGTTTTGCACTTGTCCACGATCTCGCACAACTGCCTACATTTCTACACTGTTGTTAAGAAATTGTTAGATATTACTGAATCGTTGTTATTGTAGACAGGAAGTACTCACATGTATGTTATTGTACTCCTTCTCTCTGTCAGCAACCGAAAAGCTCCACGCTAGCCTCATTTCTTCAACCGTTTGAACAAACACTCTGGATTTTGGTTATGGTTTCCGTCCATGTTGTTGCATTAGCGTTGTACCTATTAGACAGATTTAGTCCGTTTGGCCGCTACAAATTACCCAACAGTGACGCTACAGAGGAAGACGCTTTAAACCTGTCCAGCGCCATCTGGTTTGCATGGGGAGTGTTACTAAACAGTGGCATTGGAGAAGGTAATTTTGAATTTTTATAAACTGATTTTAAATACATTTAATAGTACATGCCTAGTGGTAAGTTGTATAATAAAGGTGGTAATGAAAGGGTAAAGAAGTAAGATATCAAACATAAAAACCTACATCGCAATAAATGAATAATTTCTTTATACTTTTTCAGTCTTTTGTCTTGCATCCTAAATTATTCTTTCGTATCCAAGTGAATTTATAAGTCCTGGAAACGTATCTAGTAGAACGTTTAGTGGCACAACTAATGTAACACTAAGACAAAGATGTTTCTGATGTGTTGCAGGCACCCCTCGAAGCTTCAGTGCCAGAGTCTTAGGGATGGTGTGGGCAGGATTCGCCATGATTGTTGTAGCTTCTTATACTGCCAACTTGGCTGCGTTCCTCGTTTTGGATCGTCCAGAGACATCACTTACTGGGATTAATGATGCCCGGGTAAATATAAGTTTTACCTTTCTCTCTCTCTAATAAAATGTTTCAGAGTATATGTAGCACAGCAACAACTACCTGTTTTCGCCTGATCATTATCTTATTTATTATTTGCCTAGACACGCCATAAAATAGTCTTATCGTTCGACAATTTTAAAGAAACATTGAAAGTTGAGCACTCCGGACCAAAGATAACCTGCCCCCCAGTGGCACAGCGGTATTCTGAGGACTTACAATGCTAGAATCCGGGTTTCGATACCCGTGGTGGGCAGAGCACAGATAGCCCATTGTGTAGCTTTGTGCTTAATTACAAACAAACAAAAACAAAAGATAGCCTAGTGACATGTTACGTAAAAATTTACCTATTTGCTAAAGTTGTTTGATGTTTTTTATTTGTTTGTTTTAAAGTGGGTTGTTCAGCTCGTTTTGCAGGAAAATGTATTGAAAGTATTCTCAGTACACATCAACAAGAAATAGTGTCGCATATATGCATTAACAAATAATTTTCTTTGAGACTTTGGAGGTCAGATGTTTTATTCATATATTACAATGAGTGTATATGTATATAGAAATTCATGTTTACGAGTAACGTTTTAAAGATATTCCTTAAAATTATACTCAAATAGGCTAAAGACAGTTGGACAGATATCACCATTACTTCATCTCTGAATAACGAATCAATACGATTTCATATGTTTGTGGTTTATAGCTTCGTAATCCCTTGGAAAACTTCACTTACGCCACAGTAAAGGGAAGTGCAGTCGATATGTATTTTCGACGCCAGGTGGAGCTTTCCAATATGTACCGAACTATGGAAGGAAAGAACTACGACACAGCAGAAGAAGCCATTGCTGCTGTTAAATCCGGGTATAGTTATAATTACTTTTCTGTTTTTATTACTTCTATTATGAGATACATAGGTAGCTGAGACATCAGCCTGGGGCTTGATTTTGTGTTACTTTTGTCCATAAAATAATCCTTATTATTTTACTTTAACTCACACTTATGTCAGAATAAGAGAAACAAAGATTAAAAGTATACAGACTTGAATGATGGGTACTGAAAAACAGTACATGGGTACTATGGTTTTTTGAGCTGCAGTGGTGAAAAACATGGGACGGTTTTTTATTGTGTTCTGTCAATCTGGTTTCCAATTTTCTTCCTGTTTCTCCTATGTAGAATTCTGGGCAGTTATTGCATGTTATTTTGTAAATGACATTGGTATTGTGTGATTCTAAAGAATTTTTGTTTAGTAACGATTTTAATTTAGGGCTGGGTTTTTGTGAGAATTTGACGTTGACAGGAATATTGTGTTTCCTGGCTAGTTTAGTCCAAGTGTGGATAATCATTGAGCTGATTTCAGGAACAAAAGGTGATCTGCAGTGTAATGTACTGTTGTTGGATTTATTAGTATCAATTTGTTCGTGAGTTGAGTATATCTATTAAAAACACA